TTATTTTATTTTATTTTATTTTATTTTACTTATTTATTTTAAATTTTATTTTCCTAGCAGGGAAAAATATTACAGGAGCTGCAGGAACTGGCAATACTAGAAATGATTACCTGCAGTTAAAAGTGTGGTCTAACTATTAAGGCCCTTAGCTGTTAATGTTATAGTAGGTTCTCTGTCACTTGAGAGCTTTAACTAAATATTTGGCAATCCATCTTAGTGAAGTGTCCCCGCTCAACCAGGAGAATTAGTGTGCGCAATTCCCAGGGCTGCCTTATGCAAGCGTGCGAGCTGAGCGATGGGTACGGTCCTGCTCTGAAAAATCTCGCTGTCGGCGCTAACTGCTTGCTGCAGAGCACTATTGTCAGAAGCGGGTGATTCATCCCGTGCCGCCCCGGGCTACGTGGAGCTGGGCAGGAGGCTGCCCGGCCACCACGGGGGCACTCCTAAGCCCCCAGTCAGAGGTGAACCCCAGTGCTATTTCCTAACCCGGCCTTCTGTTTTAATGCCATGCGAACTTTTCCGCTGAACTTCATCGCTTGTGCAGTCATCTCAGAAGGGGACATTGATGAGAGCCGGAATTGTACTGAAAAGGAGTTTTTTTGGATGGGAAATATCTAATGTCATCTGAAAAGCCCTGTTTATCTCTGTCTTGCAGAAGCTGGTTCAGAAGACATCGACATACTTCCCAACGGACTGGCTTTCATCAGCTCCGTAAGTGCCCGTGCCCCCTCCCTGCGCTGGGGCTTGCTTGCCCGCTTCCTTATCTACAGAAGCCGTGGGTGAAAACTGCAGGATGGGCTCTTTTTTCTACAAAGCTGGCTGGCTCCGTCGGAACAGCCCAGACTTGTGTCGGCTTAGCTGGCGTTTCCTTCTGCTTGAGCAAGTGCACTTCTTGAGGCTGAAGTGGTGGTGGTGGCTCTGACACACGTATCCTATTGCACCAGCTTATCTGCCCACATAACCTTGAATTTCTTTCATGCTGCTTTCCTGAAATGTTGAAATGTCAAACCTCTCCCTTGTTAAGAAGGTGTGTTAATTCCCTACCTCTAAAAACAATACCAGATTTTGTGTGTTGATTTTGTTGTTCCTGGGGTTTTTTTAGCCTTTCGCATATAGGTTTTCAGGCTTTTCTTTGCAATCAGGATGGCTAGCGATTATTTTCTGAAACAAAAGCTCGTATTTTCGTCTACGTGCTCCAGGGACACCCAGGGAATGATAATGTGGCAAAACTCATGCCAGAAATGGCGAGCCGTCGCGCTGCTGCTGTTCCCCGCGGCGTGACCACGTTGGCTGCATTCGGTGGTGCCGTACTTCCCGCAGCGTGTCTGCTCGCGGAGCGGTTTGGCATGGCGGGGAGCACCCACCCGGCTGGTGGCTGCGGTGGGTGGCAGCGGTGCCACCGCCCGGTGGGTCGGTGGTGCCTTGGGCACGGCTCCTCGTGCCCTCCACGTGGCTTGCTCCCTCTGCACGGCGAGTGAGGGCTCACCAGGGAGAGCAGAGCCGGCCCCTCCACCTCCATCGTGGCACGGCGTGCTGAAGCAGAGGGACGTCCTGAGGTGTGCTTGCAAGCCCAAGCAAGGCTCCAGCGTTTTCAGCCCTGTGATGCTTCGCTTTGCCTTTTACCCAGGAACGATTTTCTTACGTTTTGATTTTACAGGGCTTGAAATACCCAGGAATAAAGAGCCTTGCACCAGACAAGCCAGGTGAAATATTTTTGATGGATTTGAATGAAGACAATCCCAGAGCAGTGGAACTGAGAATCAGCCGAGGGTTTGATCTGGCGTCGTTTAACCCTCATGGAATCAGCACTTATGTAGACAGAGGTAAAGAGATCTTTAACTTGAGGTGGTGGCAAATCTGAGCCTAAAGAGCAGAAAAAGAAATCCCTTGTCAGCCTTGCATTACACCCCCAATAGCCTGCGCTTGCTGGGAGAGAAAAAGGTTTTCAGGTTTTTTATCTTTGTTGGGCTCTTTTATAAATGTCAGCTCCTAAAGCAAACACCTTTGCACATAATCTCAGGCTGTCCTGTATATTGAAGGGAAAGAAATCATGGGAAAAGTTTGAGGAGTTGAATACCACACGAAGTTTATTTTACCAATTTACACCTGTCTCACCCTGGTGTCAAAGGTTTTGAGCAGACACATGCTTCAGGGGTACTAGTGACCAGTAGCAGCTAAACAGTAAATTACCAAATCTCTGTAAATTACCCAAACCTCTGGTGCTCTGTGGCCAAGCCACATTCTCCTCTCCAAGACATGTTCTCCTACAGCAGGCTCTGACTACCAATAAAGTACCCTTCATGCTCTCCTTCCTCTCTTTTTCCCTGTTCTTTCACTGAGGATTTTAGCAGGGCAATTAGAAGTCTGAAAATATTAAGAGGAAGAGAACCACTGCTGCAGCTTGACCTGCGTCCCCATACAGTGACCCTTTAAGGGAAGGTGTTGGAGAAATCAGAGGTGGCTAATGTAGAGTTTCACCAGAAGGGCTGGGCAGAAGGGCTGCAGCCTTACCCAGAGTACAGGAGAAGGATGCTCCTTCAGCGTTCTCAGGGGGTGCGGTAAATAAACCGAAGAGCCCAAACTGGCTGGGCAACAAGCCCTCATTTGCAGCTGACTCTGGCTATTTCATGTAACCAGTCACTGTAGTATCTCAGATTGCAAAACCCAGTGGCTTGGGCACAAGGATGAAGCCATGATTTCTTTCTTCCTCAGGAGAAATAGCAAAAATGTAGTTACACAGCAGTTCCCTGTAGAGCAAGCCTGGGAGAAGAGTCTCTGGAGATCTGGATCCAGTTGCAGTGGCATCCTGCATTACTTTGGTGCTTGTCCTTCTGCCTCTGAAGGCCTGTGAGACAAATGCACCAAACCCAACGTGTGCCCTGTACTAGAGGCTGCTGTGGGTGCTCAGCCATGCAAACTGTTGCAGAGAATTCAGCTGTTTCCATTTCTTTTTTTAAGATGACACCGTGTACCTCTTTGTTGTGAACCATCCCCATCAGAGGAGCACAGTAGAATTGTTTAAATTTGTAGAAGATGACAATTCTCTTCTACACCTGAAAACTGTTCGACACGACCTTCTGACAAGGTATTGGAGCCAAATACCGTCTTCCCCCAGAAGAATGGGCTGCTTTGATGAAATCCAAAGTAGGATGATTTTGGTTTTAGGGTATTATCAATATGACACATTTTCTCTTTTACCAGCTTTCCTGTTTCTCTTATTGATTATTTCTTATCTGTGTAATCAAAAACTGTGTTTCTCCAATCTCTTCTGTAAATGAGATTCTTAAAAGCTGTATCACTAAATCAGTCTTAAGTGCCACGGTGATTGATGCCGGTGAATTAGCTTAGCATCCATTTCTCCTTCTGTCATGTAACCCACTCTCAGGTCATTGCGGATAGGAATCTTCAGATATTCTATCAATCTGAATTTGCTACACTGTAGAAGTAAACATACTTTTAGCTTTTTCTTTTTTTTTTTTTGGTTGCATACAAAATTTTCTTAGTCTGTCCTACTACAAAATGATTGTAGGATAAACAGAGGTAGATAAAGTTGTCACAACTCCTACCTGTTCTCTGGTTTCCAGTTGAATGGACTCAAAAGAGAAAAAAATTCCATGGACTTATGGACAGGTAGCCAGATCTCTAGCTGATGCCCTATGGTCCTATGACACTACACAGTCCTGGCTTATGTAAAAGAAAATAGAAGAAAAAAGGATCTAAATAGCTTGGTGTCCATCTGAAGTACCATCTGTAATTGCAGCCCCTTTATGTCTGTGGGATGACCATGTCCTGGCTGGATTCTGGGCAGTCCTACAATGCAGTCCTGCATACCTCTCACTTCATTCTTTTATTTATTTTTCTTCCTCTTATTTTTTTTAGTGTGAATGATATAGTAGCTATGGGACCAGAGAGCTTCTATGCTACCAATGACCACTACTTCTTTGACTTCATCTTGATGTTCTTGGAGATGTTCTTGGGTTTAACTTGGTCAAATGTTGTTTACTACAGTCCAAAAGAAGTTAAAGAAGTAGCAGCTGGATTTTATTCAGCCAATGGAATTAACATTTCACCTGACAGAAAGTAAGTTTCTCCTTGCCTTAGATTTTGTTTGATCACACAAAAGAATCCCCAAATCCTAATTTGTACACACAATACCTCTGTCGTCAAGTGTCTAAACTGGCTCACATAAGGCAAGGTGCTACCTGTACAGTGTAAGCGATACGGAGGGTTTCAGAAGTCATGTGTCTCTGTCTTTAACTGGAGGCAACGTCTGCTGCTTTGTGTGGTCATTTATATGCAATAAGATCAAAGGTTGCTGCATTTTAACCAGCCAGTACAGAAGTTTGTGTATATTGCTTGCAAGGATTAACGGGGCAGGATTTCTGCAAGTGGGGAACGCTCTGCAGTCTTAAAGTCTGTATGACTGAATCAACCGGTCCTGTGGTGCAGACAGGTGATCTTAAATTAAATAAAAAAAAAGCATATTTGTGGATCTCACGACCCAAGGCCTGCTTCAGTGTCGTAATGGAAGAACTGGCACAGCGTGAAGCTACATGAGCGTCTCAGCGGGTTGGCTTCACTTCAGTGCCCTGTGGCCTGCTTGCAATGTCTGTTGCGGTGTGAGAACTGTGAGCTGGGGCGAGCTGGGGCTGCACAGGAGGAACTCTGGTTTTGTTGTCTGCTTACTGATACACATTGCTAAGAGGTGCTTTCTTTTGAAGGTACATCTATGTTGCAGATGTATTTGATCATAATGTCCATGTTATGGAAAAACATGCTAATTGGAATTTAACCCATGTGAAGGTAAGGCGCTGCTGTTCTGTAAAAAAGAGGCATACGTGAATTTTGGACAGATTAGTCCCCATGACCGCTTGAGATTTCAGCCTGATCATGTGTGAAGTTCTGGTCTGGATGGCTCCTGCTGTGGGTTTGCAGAGGTGCTGTGCACCCCGTTACAGAGCTTCTGGTCTTCCACCCTCACACCAGCAACCAGGGAGGGATCCTCGGGCGTGCTGTAGGGCCGCAGGGGAGGTCTGCCGCCGTCACTGTGGGCCAGACCTCAAAGCGCTGAAGCAATCGACACAAGCATAGGTGTGAATGAGCCGGTGGGGGAAGCTGGGAGCCGCAGGCGGGTTCCTCATGGCGCAGAGGAGGGGATGAAGCATACTGGGGGAAAAGAAAAACAGCAGTGGGGGAGAAAACAGTTCTTAAAAAATCAGTCTAGATTACGTCAGATGAGAGTCTTGGACAAGTCTACTGGTTATGTTACAGTTTGCTTCCAGGACTTCTGATAGCTTTAACCTATCTCTTTTTCTTGTTTTTCCTCTGTGTTGGATAGACGCTGCAGCTGGACACTCTGGTCGATAACTTGTCTATCGACCCTCACACTGGAGACGTCTGGATAGGATGTCATCCCAATGGGATGAAGCTGTTCTACAATGATCCTGAAAATCTGCCTGCCTCTGAGGTGCCTTTTGGGAGACCGCCCTGGTCTCAGCTGTATCTGTGCCGGAAAGTTGCTCTGTTCAAATCACCCTGCTATAACTTAACTCCGCATTACACAGAGAAGTGCCTGGCCAGCCTTTGTGAAAGCAAAGACCGAGCTGGCCACCAGCTTATAGCTTCTGCTCTCAAGCGGAAAGCATGAATGGCATATACTCACTAACAAACACCTATTCAGATCCTTAGGAGACAACTGAGTAATTTCCACCCAGTAGCTCAGTCATTCTGGACTCCTCAGGCTGCTTTCTGTGCAGCTGTGGCCGCACAATCAAATTTTGATGAACGGTGTTAATTACCAAGCCAGCACCTCTTTGCCAAACAAAAAAATAATCGAGTGTGAAGCACGACCAGAAACATTCGCACTGGAATGATTTATCTGTGCAAGTGTGGTTCATCAGTAGGTGACACTGTAATTCTTCTTTCCTTCTGAAATCAATGAGGTACTGGCATCAGTGCGCTAGCAGCCACGAGCACAGGCGGCCGGTTGGTGTCCATCTGATTTCAGCCTTGTCTCAAGCTCCCCTGTAAGACACTTTTCAAAATTATTTTGATGATACCAGGCAGCTGTTTACTCTGTCTGGAAAAAGCATGAAAACAAGAAGGTACTAAGTAACTCTTAGGCTGAAAAAAACCGTGCACATTCCTAGTGCTGGGGATGACTGCCTGCCTTACTTACTGAGGTGGAGTCTCTGTTGCACAACCACTTAAAAAAATAATCAGTCTTCACAGACCATGCTTCACTGACACAGAATTTATGGCCCTATCACAGGAATCACTTGGTTGCAGTTAGCAGCAGCTGATCAACCTAACTAATTTGTTTGAGTTAACATACTGATGTTCCCTCCATCCGTGGAGGATTTTCACCCGCGGCTGTCTCAGCAGATGTATCCCCCTCCTCCGGCAGGTCCTGCGCGTCCAGAACATCCTCTCGGAGGAGCCTGTGGTGACGCGCGTCTACGCCGACAACGGCTCTGTGCTGCAGGGAAGCTCGGTGGCATCCGTCTATGAGGGAAAGCTGCTCATCGGCACAGTCTTCCACAGAGCTCTCTACTGTGAGCTATAGCTCATCGTGGGTAAGATCTGCTGCAGTGGAAAGGATTTAAGTCCTTGGGAACTCACTTAGTTTCTGCTAGATCTGCTAACAAGAAGACTGTTCCAATAAAGGTTAACTAGAGTCATGGAAATGTATTTTAGCCTTCCTCTCCAAAATGAGAGTTTTATGCAAGAGTAAAGGAAATGGAATTGAAGGTGAGACATCAGAGTTTATTTGTGTAATGGGGAGGACTCCATGTCAGTAACAAAGAGTAACCTTGAAGTTCAAGTTCAGATTACAAATGACTAAACTGTCAGACATTGAATTATCTGTTGCGACTGGATTTCTGTTTTTTTTTCCCCAGAGAAAGCTGATTTTAGAAATGAGAATTGCTAACTACCACTGTGGTGCACTTTCTTGTCACCGACCCCTGGACTTTCCCAGAGACTGTGCTAATGGTTCTTCTTCTGAACCTTCCTGTAGGCTTTCCCTAATGCTTCCGAAATAACTGGAAGGAGAATGTTATTCCAGCCTCATTTCTTCCCTCTTCCCCCTTTAAGCCATTTCCTAACATTACTTCAGTTTCATAAATTTGTCTTAATCCTACTGAGAAGAGAGGAGGGCATCACTTCGGAGTGGTTTCTTACTGAGTCTTCCAAAGGGAGTTAAAAAAAGCCTTTTTTTTGCCTTAAAGAGTGGGAAACAACACCCGAGCGCCTTCAGTGAAAAGTGCATTAGCAACCACTGCTGTCTGCCGCAGCAAAGGGAGCATTTCTGGGCGCTTGGCCACGGTGACGACCCCCGAGCGTTGGTCACACATGTGCCATGTTTAAGTTTGGGTCTGTACGGAGCTGAGCCCTGCTGTGCTGCCGTGCAGCTTCGCGTTTATGCAGCGGCAGTTACCGGTAACGTCGTGCACTGCTAAAAGCCCTACCCTGGTTTCCATCAGCTGGTGTTTTTAGAATGGTGTTAGTTAGCAGTCACTTGCAATAGACTGAACTGAGCGTCCTGTGCCGCTGGAGATCCATTTTGTGCTTTTCCAGCGAGCGCAGCAAGACGCCGGTCTGGCAAAAGGCCCTCTTTGAGCAGCTTGGTTTCCCGCCCGTGGAGCCAGCTCTTCGTCCCTTAGTGTCGATGTCCTTAGTCACGGAGTAGCTCCTGCTGCTCTTTTTGCCCCCCGAGCTCCCACCTCTGGTCACCGCTCTGGTTTTGTGAGAGGTGCTGACACCCAGCCGAAGGCTCCGTGTCG